TGTCCGGAAATGGCTTGTCCACAGGGGCAGACGTCAAAAAAAACAGCTCGTCGTCAACGTGTTAGGGACTACAATCCGGACAACAGGTACAATTTCCTTCGTTTAGTTTCCTTTTTGGTGCAAGGCCATTGCATGACGAAGGCGCAGAAGCAGTAGCATTTGAGCGGGCGCGAACGCGGTGCGCGCGTATCCTCACCGTTGTGAATCCTGCGCCTCATGCGCTCTGCTGCTGATAAAGCCGCTTTTGCGCCTAAAAATACTGCGCATGCATCAACCAATGTTTTGTTTCACTTTTTTGATTTTTTTCTCCAATTATCGGATGAATTGAATATTTCTGTAGTTGTGTGCGATTGTATAGCGAGTAAATTGCGATGGCGGGACCTGTACAATTGAAATCACAAAAGGGTCTCCTGATATATACAAGTACTTCAAACCAAGCGATTGCAAAATATTCGCAAGAAGAAGAAATCTCATGCAATTTTTCTATCAAAAACCTCCCACAAACTAAGGTGCAGTATCTAAACTAGTAACAGAGGCCCTAGGCAACTTTACAAAAGTTGTTAATGATCTGGGAGAGAAAGTGACTGACAAACAAGAGATTCAGTTAAAGAGTGTATTGAAAAAACGCAAGTGGAGCCGGAAACAGCACAGACGCTGATCATAGAGATTGTTGAAAGGTAAATGGATTTGCAAGAACTCACGAATTTCCACAGACGAAAATTGACTTACCAACCATACCATTCCCACATTCAGTGGAAAATCAGTGAGTCTGAAAACTTTTGGACTCTTTTATGCAAGTGTCCATAAACAAAAGCTTTCAATCTTACAGAGTTTAACTATCTCTTGCGAGCACTGCGAGGGGAGCCTTAGGCATATGAAAAAAGAAATCTGGTTGCGGATGATAATTACGATGCAGCGATTGATGCACTCCATGCGAAGTTTGGGGATAAACTCAAAGTTGCTTATGATTTGCAGATCAAATTAGATAGAGGCGACTGCGAAAAGCCCCCATAACGCTTATCAAAGAAGACTGGAGTATCTGATTGCTCAACAGAAAAACGTTTTTTTTTAACAGCTTTCACGTCATCCACAAAGTCTGCGAAAATTTACTCAGAACCTTTAGCGAAAGTGAAAGCTCAGGGAAAAACAACGAGGGAAGCTGATCAATGAGACGGTAACGTCGGAAGACGAAGTGATCCACATATTCAAAAATGACGCTACATCGCGGAACAGATGAGAGCAGGGTCGCAACGAAAATGAGAAGAATCTCCTGCTCATTTTCCAAGATGTCTTTATTGCAATGCAACAAACCATAGCTCTTTAAATTGCACTGAATTTGGTTCCGTACAAAAACTAACGGATTGTTTAATCAAAAATAAAAGGTGCCTCAACTGTGCGAAATCAATTCACTTTTTGAGAGATTGCAACAACAAAGCATGCAACATGTGCGAGGAGAGAAAGCATCATTTCTCCCTCTGTCCCATAAGACTGTCTAGACCATCTGAGAGGTAACAGATGCGAACTGATGTAGCAGCTCCAAAGCAGTTCTTTAAAAGAAACGGAAATAAAGTGAGAAGAACGACGCAAAATCAAAATTGCACCATATTCACAGAATCAGAGGAAGCAGAAGAGGCAACTCGATTTTTTAGCTTCGAATGCTGATAAGCCTGTGAAGAAGACAGAACGGCTTTAAGTTTGAATATAAGATTTCGTAAACTGTACAGACGCACAGATAAACATAAAAATGCTGAACTCAGAAATTTTCCCAAATTTTCTTATTCGTGGCAAGACCATTTGAGAACGTCCCCTTCTGGTTTCTTAATTTCGTCGAGGTGCCTGCTTTGTTTCAGCTGTTCGAAAAGAGAGCGCCAAACCATATGTTACTTTCTATTTTGAATAAAATTGCGAAGCAAATTGTTCAGCAATAATATAAAACTGTGAAGATTTTTCTCATCAATAGGTGACTAGACCAGCATACATGTGATGCACACATGAAATTGCTTAAGGATGTTGTAGATTAGAATAATACATGGTGAGCACGAAGCTGAGGTGAATAAGCTTTTAAGTTTATAAGCTAAAACTGATTATGCAAACTCCTTTCTGAACAGTGCTAAGTATTGAAATGTCCAGTTCTCAAAAACGTCGAAAATCTGAAGATCTGGAAAATTTTTCTTACTGTTGATTGCCTTATTCGTGTCTCATAACTATATTTTTTAATTCGAGCCATTCCATTCCTATACTTTACTCATATACTCAAGATACGCTATAAAAAAGATTTTGCAGAAATCCATATAGAGCTTAGAAGATACATACAGCCATCCTAGCTTACCAAGTGAATCCATTGGCAGCAAGTTATAAACGCAACGAATATATTAGGTTGTCCCAAAAGTAAACCACATCTCTAAATAAATCAAGCTGTTTTTGTTTTCCTGACAGACTTGTACCATTCGATAGCGCGAAGCAAGCATCTACAAGATGTCCACCAAAGTTCCACTTAAGTTGTAAGTCGTAACCCAAGTAAAATTTGGAGCCAAAATTATAATTTTTCTGACCTTAAAATCGGATGTCCCTCCAGATCTCTATGGACCTCAACTTGGTCATTCATAGACGCATAGTAGTACCCAAAAATGCATTTTGTGGATTTTTTTCCAGGCTCAAGCACATAAACCAGCCCGAAAATGCAAAAATGTCACTTTTTCGGGTTTTTCATGTTGAACTTGGTGTTTCTCGACCATCAAGGCATATATTTACTCAAAATTTAAGGTTATACTAAGGTTGCAGTATACAATCACATATGGGAGGAGCTGCGAGCGAAGTTTGCCAAATTTGAATCATCTTTTTTCTGTTTTTATGCATGAAAAACCCAGTGAAAGCATTTTTGAGTACTACTATGTGTCTGGTGTAAAATGACCAAGTTGGAGGTCTATAGGTTTTTCCTTCGCAAAAATCCGATTAAGTGACGAAATTTTTCGATTTTGGCTGCGAAGATACGACTTAGGCGGGTCTTTGGCAAACATTTTGTAGAACTTGCTTCACTTTATCGAATGATACCCTCCTAAGACTACTAGGAAAAGGAAACCGCTTCACTTATTTACGGTTACTTTTGGGACAACCTATTGAATACAAGATTTTTATGCGGTATAATCATCCCTTCTTGTAACAAAAATCACTTAAAAGACTAGAGTCTCCTAGAAACGATAAGTGTAGATTGCGTGTCACACTTTTATATGATTTTCTTTTATACTGTAAATTAAATAATCTGTATTGAAGCTAGATTATGGCCTATTTCAGATTTATGCCTTGTTCTAAAACTAGATTGCTTCGTGATCCTCCAACAATAAATCTGCCAATTGCTTGGATCAAAATCAAATTATCAGTGTCCATAACGTAACAACATAGGATTCGATCTACTACATTCGAAAGCTTTTGAAGAGCTTTATTAAGTGTGTTGCGTAAAGTTGACAATGCACGGTCCTCGCACGAAAATCACTGAAGAAGAAACTGTCGTTCTGGCAGTGCTGTAAGATGCTAGGGTGACGATCATCCAAAAAAATTCCCAAGAAAATTGGATATGTTCAGTAAGCTTGCAATATTAAATTTCAGTGACGAGCTGTCGACTGAATTGCCAAAAACCCTATCTTCTTGCTTTTAAAAACTCTCTAAATACTGCATATTTCTTGAGTAAACCCAAACCTTCATGGGGTTCCACCGTGCGGTACCATAAAATCCTGTAAGTCTGCTTTCATATACTAGGCTTACAGAATTTCATCTTATATATAAAGCTGAATGTCTGTTTGTATGTATGTCTGTCTGTCTGTCTGTATGTATGTATGTCTGTACGTATGTTCCGAATAGAAAATTCCATTTCTGAACCGATCGGGACCAAACTTGGCACACATACACTTCGGGCCCCGGCGGGTGTCATAGGCTACCTTTCGTATCGATCGATATCGATTTTATCGATTTTTATCGATTTTTTTACTGAGTTCACCTACGGGGCTGGGAGTTGGCACAGGAGGGTAATCGAGCATGGGGATTCCGAATACATATTGGTTTTCAGGATTATCGATTACTTTTATCGATTTTATCGATTTTTTTGCAAAGTTTGAGCTACGGGGCTGGGAGTTCGCACAGGGGGGTAATCGAGCATGGGGATTCCGAATACAATATTGGTTTTCGGGATTATCGATTACTTTTATCGATTTCATCGATTTTTTTGCAAAGTTTGAGCTAGGGGGCTGGGAGTTGGCACAGGGGGGTAATCGAGCATGCTGATCATTCCCAAGGGGGGTGATCAGCATGCTCGATTACACCCCTGTGCCATATTCCAGCCCCCTAGCTCAAATTTTCAAAAAATCGATAAAATCGATGAAAGTAATCGATAATCCCGAAAACCAATATTGTATTCGGAATCCCCATGCTCGATTACCCCCCTGTGCGAACTCCCAGCCCCGTAGCTCAAACTTTGCAAAAAAATCGATAAAATCGATAAAAGTAATCGATGATTCTGAAAACTAATATTGTATTCGGAATCCCCATGCTCACTTCCCCCCTGTGCCAACTCCTAGCCCTGTAGGTGAACTCTGCAAAAAAATCGATAAAAATCGGTAAAATCGACATCGATCGATAACGAAAAGTGGACTGTGACACCCGCCGGGGCCCGAAGTGTATGTGTGCCAAGTTTGGTCCGGATACGGCGGAGCCGGGTAAGCCAGCTAGTGGTATATAAAGTAAGGTTACAATCTTTTGGTCTTTCTATTGTTTAACTTAATTAAAGTGACACTCTATTTCGAGATCTTCTAGATTTCCCTATAATTTACTACCTTTCAAATGTAAAGTACACTCATGCAGCAGCAAATCTCACCACGTCCATTTCTTCAAAGAAAAAAGGACTAGAATCGGCATGATCCTTGGCCTACAAGCATCACTTTGTCGGAGCTAGTGGTTCGTTTACTCAAGGCGCAAGTTTACTTCATCCTCTATTTCACTTCGTCTGAACCATGCCACGTTTCCAAGGCAAGGTTGCCATTGTCACAGGTATGATAATGATTTTGATTTCATTTTTTGAATCTCATTTACGACTTCTTACGAACATTTCATGATTAAGTTTAATTCCACATCTATAGAGTTGCTTTAGGGTATCACGTGAGTTATAGTGCATACCAAGACGATTTTGAAAATATAAACCTAGTTCAAGGCCGAAATAAGCTTGGCCCTGTAGAGCTAAAAACGCAATCACAGTCGCCAACTTAATTATTCAAAAATACTGTTCTAGGTTCATCCTCTGGGATAGGAGCTGGAACGGCTGTGCTGTTGGCTAAAGAAGGTGCAAAAGTGACAATTACGGGAAGAAAGCAAGATGGACTAGAGGTGAAAATTACTGTAGCGATCAATATACTCATAAAAATCGTCTCAGGCTACCAAGAAAGCTATGATTGAAGCTGGAGCAAACGAGGACGATATAAATGTCGTTGTGGCAGACGTAACGGACGCTATCGGAAGGGAACAAATTGTTTCGAGCACCGTCCAGAAATTCGGACATTTAGACATTTTGGTTGGTTAGGTTTTCGAGAATTCCGAAACTTCAGAATTAAGGACCCCTCGTAGGTTAACAATGCCGGCGCAGCATTTCGTAATGAAAATGGACATATAGGACTGAATGCCGGTACCGATATCTTGGAGAAAACCATGAAAACAAATGTGTACAGGTAAAAGCAATTCTGTAATTTTTCGAACACTCTCATTTTAAATTAAATGCTAAATCTTCAGCGTAGTCGACATGATCAAGCTGGCTAGACCACATCTTATCAAATCCAAGGGTGAAATCATCAATGTTTCCAGTATTGCCGGACAGCCTAGCTCTGTAAGATTCTACTTTCTATAATTTATTCCTGTAACTTATCAGTGCGTATCTTCAAAACTTACAGTATGCTTACAGTACGCTATGACTGCATATTATGCAATGTCAAAAGCAGCATTAGATCAAATGATGCGAGCTATGGCAATCGAACTGATAGCTGAAGGGGTTCGCGTAAACAGTGTGAGGTAAGGACAAACCAAAACTAGAACTTGAGAAGAAAGTTAAGAAACGTTCAAAAAATCAATAAAGGAGCGATGTGGAGTTTAGATTAGTTTTTAAGAAGCTCAGTTGTTTTAGTTTTTGTCTCATACTAAAATTTGAAGAAATGATTTAGCAAACTTCTGAAAAATTTCTGAGCGCCTTTTCCTTTAATTCACATTCCTTTTTCCAAGCAAGTCATTTCGATGAAACTTTCAATTTGCAATCAAAGCTCATTATTCCAGTCCTGGTGTGGTGGTAACCAGATTTATTCAAAACGTTGGTATTTCCGATGAAGGGGCTGAAAAGGTAAGACACACCAATTCTTCTAAACCTATAGCTTACTTCATATGTTTTTAGTTTTACCAAGACATGGCCAGCAATCGTTCCCGCATCCCATGTGGAAAAGCTGGTTCTCCATCGGACATTGCCAATGTGATTGCCTTTTTAGCAGACCGCAACCAGTCATCCTATATTGTTGGGCAGACGATCATCGCTGATGGCGGAACATCGCTAGTGCTGGCTGCAAATGCAGATTTTGATGAAACTAAGCTAAAGTGAATAGCCATAATTTTTTTCGTTCAGTTGGTTGTGGTATGTCAGCTTGTTAGAACTCAGGAAAATTCATCTATCCAGGGACTATTTTCTTCCAGGGACTTTTAGGCTAGGCAGTGAATATCTAGAAGCACTTATATATTCATAACTTTTGTGTGAAATAGCGAAACACTATTCAGAATGAGTTTTTGATGTGTTTTGGAGCTGTGAAAGTTTTGAATAAAGTTAGAAAGAAACTAGGGATTCGGTCGTTTAGAAATCGTTGTACACAGCAGTTCCTACCATTTGCAGTTCAGTTTCTTGAAAAATTTTCTCCCATTAGATGCTTGGTAGAGCAGAGGGATCTCCACAACACAAGCTTGAATGCTACACATATAGAGACAAGCGTTTTGTTTGGAAATGAGTTGTAGTAATAAGAATGCGCAGGAAATATGGAAGCATGTACGATTGGATGACGCTTAAAGGCAGTGTCTCACCAAAATTTAGTTGCCGAAATTTTTGCATTTTGCAAGCCTGTCGGACCCTGTCTAGCACTGTATGGGCCTAAAATCGCGCGAAGTTCCCAAAAACCCCGTTTTCTAGAGGCCCAACGGAAGCAACTTGGACGAGTTGTACCTTCCAACTTCAGCCTCAGCCACAGTGGCAGCAACAGAGGGGAGGTGGATGCCAAGTGGAGGGACATGTTCAAACGCGTAAGGGGGGAGACCGAAGGAGTCGTCCGCGCGTACCAAGTCGCTCTCCGCGTACCACTTTGAGCGAATTTTTCTCAGCGTAGAGGGGGTCAAATTGAGTGACAGTTGTTGCAATGGCCTATCTAGAGGTCTCTATAATAGAATATGTAAAGATCCCCGCGACCTCAACTTTGGCGAGACACTGCCTTTAAGGTACCCTTTCTCATGTCAGTTTTATATCCCATCGATTGTCGAATAAAAATCAATTCATATGTTATTTTTACCGTTTTAAAGCATTCAGAGTAGTTCAGGGATTGAGCATGTTTCATCAAAATCGACTTACACGGACATTTGAATTCTTTGCCCTCAAGAGTATACAAGGAGGTTCATTTGCCAGTTTCATTTTTGACAAAATTTTACTAAATTTTTTAGAATGCAAAAAGCATGTCTATCTGGATGAGATGACCTTACAATAGCTCTACCCAACTTCTTGCAAGATATCCATTGTTGGGGGCAGTTCCAACTCCTGTCGACAAGACTTTCCTATCTGATTTCTCGGAAGAGCATGTCACTTCGAGATTGTGTGGATTTTCATATTTCGAAATATTTGGAAACTTCGCCCATATTTCCCTTGCTGCTCTTGATCCCTCCCAAAATGACGCAAGTCAAGTTCAAAGAGTGACTGAACAAATAAGCCACTACGCCGGAGTGGTGAATTTTCACATGATAGCGAAAAGACGATAGCATGCTGTTGACATTTGGCACGAACTTTGCTTGCAACCAGCAAATTAGCAGACGAAGATATTCCAGGAAAGAAAATATGATCGAAAAAGCGAAAAGCGCTAGATTTGATGTTAATTCGCTTTGTGAAGTCTCATTCAAATTTGTGCTGATTCAAATCTATTTTGTGCGCGCAAGCTGCAATTCAGGCATTATTATCTAATCATCACGAATTGGCTTGCTATTTATGAACTAATAGAAATAGAGTAACAATACTATTATTGTGAAGGTAACAAAGATAAGTGGCATAAATTCGTTGCATGTAGCAACTTATTACTATAAAGCTTTCGGCTTACCAGAATGATGTTTTTTGTTTACAAAAAACCATTTCTTGCCAGGGATTTCATAGCCTCAAAGAACTTGCTTCTTCAAATGAACTATTTAAAATTGCATTACATTCAAGTCCTTGATGCCGACCGTAGCTCGTAGCTCATGGCCTCAAATTACTGAATGCATATATTCTCTTTTATCGAAATCTTCTCCATGTCATTAAAGCGCGATAGTGATTTACTTAGTTTAGAGTGCTACCACTTTTGGACTTCTGTACCTTCTCATTCACAAAAGTAAGAGATTTTGGATAGCTATATCGCATTGCCTATCTTCGGCTTTGATTCGAAAGATTATCGCTGGCTTAAAAAAATACCTTGGATTGTGAGAAAACAAAAAATGCGTGTGGCTCGAGGGATAGACGAGCCAGGCGCAGGCAATGTAAAAATTCATCGATTTTCACGAATCAATTGCGCTTAAAGCATCTAAAATACCAGCTCATTCTCTAGTTGATTAAAATAGGCTTATTTCTTCTTGCTTCGAAAGGAAGTGATCACTTATATTAGTTCCAGGATTCCGGTTGCGGCTTGAAAGAGTCGCGATGCGGAAAAGGGTTGCGAGCTTACTGGGTAAAGGAAGTACAACGTTTGCGTCCTTGATGCGATATATCAAAATTAAACAGAACTTCTTGGATTTTTCGTAAGTATTATCGAAATTATCTGAAAATTTGCTGTTTGCTGAAGCCTCAAACCCCATAGAACACGGTTTACTACACCAAATCGCAGCTCCTTCTACAAAATATATTGTAATCGTTGGGATTGGACTTCATTCAATGCTTTCGAGCAGCAAGTTGCTGACACCGCTATCTCGGACAGTTCCTTGTAAAATGTTTCAATTCTGTCAAGGCAACCAAATCACTTCCGCGAATACGCTTCGATAAGCTTTTCGCTGTGATCGTTGACCTCGGACACTCCTCCAAAAATTTGTCATCACCCAAGTTTATTTAAACGGCCCGGCAGATCATACTTTGATTAGCGCCGCTATGCCACGATTCGCTGGAAAAGTCGCTATCATTACTGGTACAAATTTTTTTACATAGCCTGTAACTAATTAATTCAATGTTCGAATCTCCCCAGGTTCTTCTTCCGGTATTGGAGCTGGAACAGCCGTACTGTTCGCTAGAGAAGGTGCAAAAGTTACCATCACTGGTAGGAAACGGGATGGTCTTGAGGTCTACTTATACTTTGATTTTTGGGTATATACTCAAGATTTGCATTTTCAGGCTACCAAGAAGGCCATGCTTGAGGCTGGAGCTAAGGAAGATGATATAAATGTCGTAGCTGCTGATGTGGTCGATGCTCATGGCAGAGAAGAAATAGTGTCAAGTACCATAAAGAAGTTCGGAAAATTGGATATTTTGGTATGTTTTTGGATTTTCGAAAAACTTTGCTACCATCCAGGCGGTCTTATAAAAGCTACATAATTCGATCTACAGCTCTCTAAAGCAACCTTAGAATAGAGGCTAGGTGGACGAAGTTCGAAAAGCGGAATATTTTTACGTAAAGATTCCATATTTTCAATCTACTTTGATTAGGGTTGAGAAAATACTTTCATTCAACTCCCATAGTAAGTACGGCAACTACAGGGTGTCCCAAAAGTATGTATCGAACGTTTGATCGTTAATATCTCTCTTCCCAAGAAGTCTTTTGCCTTGCTTCAAGTACCATTTTGTAGAGCTGGCTTCAACTTAGATTTGCATTAAAGAACGAATCACCTATCTCTCTTCATTACTGTAGGATTACGGTAGAAACTTGAAACATATGGTGTCAATGTGGAAAAAGCTGCAGTTCCAAAATTCTTCAAAAAATTGTGAAAACTTGTGTAATAGGGTTTTTATGGATGCTGAGTTCAATACTCAACTATTCACAAGATTACAAAGCTTTCTAAACGGTGTAATCGCACTTTTTAGGAACATTGAAAAAATGGCCGCTACCTCTTACCTGGCATAACTCCTCAATGAAGCATCATAATAAGTTGGGAACTTTACAGTTATAATCAGCAACTCTAATTAGCCTAGTGTGAAAACTTTCAGGCTGTTTTATTTCCTTTCTAAGGCAAAATATGGCCTTTCATTGCTTAAAACCCTCTTTGAAGTTTCTACCGTAATCCTACAGTAATGAAGAGGAATGAGTGATTCGTTCTATAATGCAAATCTAAGTTGAAGCTAGCTCTACAAAATGGTACTTGAAGCAAGGCAAAAGACTTCTTGGGAAGAGAGATATTAACGATCAAACGTTCGATACATACTTTTGGGACACCCTGTATTTTTTGGTGCAAAAATTCTATAAACCGTTGTAGATTTATAGTTATTTACCTATTTTCACATCTTCTAAGTGTCTTACCACTCTCTTTTAAAAAATTATCTTTGTTTTTGTTTACGCATCCTACGTTCCAGGTCAACAATGCTGGTGGTTTGTTAACTGATCAGAAAGGATCAGCAGGAATAGCAGCTGATCTCGATACTTTGCAAAAAACGTTCGATTTGAACGTCTACAGGTAAGAGCCAAAAATTAATTGTATGCAACAATAGAGTGTACTACGAGTTTACTAGTACTAACACTCACTGTAATGAGTGAAACTGAATAAAATTTATTCAGTGTAACTAATCTGATCCAACTTGCTCGTCCTCACCTTGTCAGAGCAAAAGGAGAAGTTGTCAATGTATCCAGTATTGCTGGGCAGCCAAGAGGCGTTAGTATCATCCTCAGTTTCATAATTTATTTCTTATGAGTTATTAAGAATTTTAGTCCAAATTCGTATATTATTCGATGGCAAAGGCCGCACTGGATCAGCTCACGCGTGGAGTCGCGCTCGACCTGATTGCTGAAGGAGTTCGAGTAAACAGTGTGAGGTGAGAAGTTGAGAGAGAGACAATTAGAAGAACTTTCCGTAAACTGGACATTTTCAGCCCTGGCCTTGTGGTTACTAAATTCTGTCAGACCGCAGGAATGTCTGATGAAATGGCAGCAAAGGTGAGGAGTTGAAATTTCCGAGACAATGTAACGAATTCCAAGTTTGCAGCTGTACGAAGCGTACGAAAGTTCTGCAGATGCTCTTCCGATTCGCGAAGCAGGAAAGCCTGAGGAGATTGCCGAATTGATAGCATTTTTGGCGGATCGCAAAACTTCGCGTTACATCGTTGGCCAAACTATCGTCATCGACGGCGGCACCACGCTTGTCACAGCCTCCAGTTCAGTTTTTTCCGGTGAGAAATGAGTGGAGCATCTGAGAAGAATGACTCGAACACTTCCCGGGCACAGATCTATCATTTCACTGTGCACTCATTCAACACAAAGAAGATAAATATTGTAATAACTTCTTTGGATGATCCAAGCTTGTACCCACGTATAACTGCTCTTGGGATAGTAGCAGTGATTACCATTATTGTCACCCGCTGACAATAATGGTAATCACAACACGAAACTGAGCATTCGGGCCCTATTTATGCCATTTTGGGCGTGGATAACCTAAATGCTGATTTCTGGTAAAAACGGTTACATAGAGACTGAAGGAATATCTACATGGAAGTAGGCACCGTCAAGTTGACTATTGAGCACAGAAGAGGTGGCCAGCAGTGGAAGTAATCAGTGATCAGCAGAGGCTATCAATGACAAGTTTAAAATATACTGAACCAGCAGATCTGCCACAGCTACGGAGCGATGACGTCAAAATAGTTATGACAGAATCGATAGATCGATAGAGCTGTCAATAAAAGAAATAGGAAATTTTCAGTATGTGAAACGCATGCTCACTTACCCCATCCGCCAATTTTTAGCCTGACAGAGGGTTGATGCAAATATTAATAGATCGATAAAGCCGATCAAGACTACTTTTCAAATAGCCCATTAAAATTCACTTTGAACAGAAGTTAATGTTTGCGAAGTTTGCTCTAGATTCGTAGCTTTTCCTAACATTTTGGTCATAACAAAAATAGCAAGGGAAGCATGTTCGTCGAAGTGACGAGATGGGATGCATAGCACATTGGAGGGCATAAAAAGCTAATTTCAAACTGACTTTTCCTACCTGTCAAACGTTTCTGCACGAGAAGTTCCAAGCCTTTGTTGGTGCAAAGAATTGAAAGTACATTGTGCAAGTATTACCAAAATGATAGTGCAATAATGTAGTGGTGTGGTGGTGTAATATTTTTTCTAGCGCTTCAATGGGTCATGATAATTATCAGGGCACTTTCATCAATAAGTACTCTAGGACAAGAGTTTATCACACTTGGTTGCTTAATTTGAGGACTGGTAAGATTTTAAAGACTCATTTTATTCTAAATGCGCATTCAACTTTTTGCTCTAATAAACGCTCACAACTCCTCGTCCAGAAACGTCTTCGCAGCCTAGATTTGCTTCGCAAATTCGCTGCCTAGATTTTGGATGAGGGAACTTACCTACCCAAAGACTTGCCGCAGCGTACCTTCGGTATCATGAGTTGTCACCAACACTAATTAGCACCTTATGCAGAGCTGATCAGTCCGGAGTCATTTTCAGTCGTAGAGTACTGGTTTGATTTCTTGTTTGGTGAATTGAAAATGTTGTAATCAATAGTTTGATAGAATTCGGAATCAGCCAGTTTTGATGACTGAAGCAGATTTTTTTCATTCCTTCCCAGTATTCTTGGCTTGTTCGGTCTTTTTCTCAAACGAAATGACACTTGATCGCTCAAAACCCTCTCCAATTGTATGGTAATCTACGGCAGGAATGGGTGATCGAAGATTCGCTCAAATGTGTTTTTAAGTTGAAGCAGCTTTACAAAATTGTACCTGAATACCCAAAGACAACGCAATAGGACATTTCCCCTTTGATTCATCGAGAGTGGCGGTTGAAAGGCCAGCATTCGATCGCTTACCAGGGCTAGGGAATGATTAGAAAGCACGCTCGCAGCGGTCGCTCCCGCCACTCTGAGGCCCCTGCCAGAGTGGCGAAGCCACGCCAGCGCTAGCCGGCGCCGGCGTAGCGCTGGCGTGGCTTAGGTACTCTGGCGGGGGCCTGACAAACCAAAGAGTATTGACAATCAAACAGTAAGCACGTTTTTTCGTTATTTTTTCGTTTTCCCTCAACATAGTTGCCTACATTTCTGTCTACAGTTATATCAAGCAGCTGCGACGATTTTTTTGCTGTAAGCTAAAAGCATGCGAAGCGGAGGTTATAGTCTACTAAACTTTTATCAAATGCTCTGATGATTGCAATTACTATGAAGTCATATATCAAATTTATGTTTGTAACACGATAACAAGAGAAATGTTTTAGTTTATAACAAAGGCATCACCAAATCTTTCGTAATCACCATTTCATTTTGACGACGACGCCTTGCCCCACATTTCCGCATAGGTATTGAAATACACATTTTGCCTTTGACTTGCTTCCACGCTGAGAGTTTTTCCTTCCAAAGATGTGACTTTCTGATGCTGCTTGCTTTTCCGAAATGACGATCTTCCGCAAGGCAAGACTGCTCGACATGCCGATCGTAACGTAGGGTGAAAACAGATAATCAAGGCAGGATACGTCACTATCTAAATAGGCTGTTGAAGTGAATATTTTACCATTACAGCAGAAACAAAGTGATTATTAGGTTGATGCAAAAGTAATGGCCGATTTGCGAATTCTCACTTTGACGTGCTATAACTTTCTAAAAGATCCATATTTCTGAATGCGGTAAAAACCCTCAGAAGCAGCAAACCTTTCGCAATGAAGCGCGTACTCATTTATACTCAAACCGTAGACGCGAAAAGAAATACGGACTAAAGACAAAAAAGGTTTTTCTGCTAGAACCTTGTTTTTGACAATTCATAACATCCTTCAAAGTTTCTTAGTATAAATGATACGTAGCTTATCTTGTAGCCGCAAGCCAGTATTACAAAACACAATAGAAAGAATTCGGACAAAAAGTTTGCGAAAAAGAAAAAAATTAAAATTTGAATTTTTTCACTTTTTGAACATTTTTTCAGTGTGCCTCAAAGTCCCGAATATAGAATTTTTGATTGTCTACGTACTCAACAGCTGGATGTTTTGCAAAAACTACTAATAGGATGCCCCAGCCCTACGCTTACACAATTGAACAAAGCTGCGGCGATTGACTTCTTCAGAAGAAAATTATGGGTCATAAAATGACCGCAACAGCTACCCATGTTTAGGCGCCGATATAACAGTCTGGATAACTTCAAAGAATGCAGTTAAGTATGCATAATGTAGACAATTTCTATTATATACAACAGCTAAATTTTCGAAGAAATCCCATTGATACGCGCTTAAATTCTGGCCGGAAAAGTGAATGCAATGAAATTCTGAATTTGGATGCGGTTGTTTGAAGCTCATTAACTTTACAAGAAATGATGACGAGAACCCGTTTGAGGCACCGTTAGATAGAGCATGAAAACAGCATCGCGATGGTATACTACATTTATTGTAAAGAAGAAGTACTGATGAAAAAAGTTGCCCTGAAAAAAGGCTTGGAAAATCGGCCATTTCTTTTGCATCAACCTAATAATTTATTGAATTCTCTCGTTGGTCAAGCCTTGCATAAAGCGCATGCATCTCTTTGACACACTGCATTTTTGTGCAATCTGTTTATGCATTCGATGTAAGAATATCCTGCGCTTTTGGTACAGATCTTTTCAGAAAAAATTGTTCTTGCGCAAATTGTGCCAACCATAAAGCTCTGACCATTTCGCAAGAAAGTGCTATGATTACTGACACTGTTTAATAGAGGGCTTTTGAGGCACTAGGACAACTTCAATTGGTTATCCATTTACCAAAAATTGAAAGGTTCTTATTGCTAATTTTTGTATTCAAATGGATCTGATAGTATCAACTTACCTCTGCATTTACAGCAAGCTGCAGCATATTCATACTGACTACGCAATCGCTGCTTTGATAACGCTCCTTGTAGTAGAAATATAAAAGCATCTCTATTATGCTATATATCGCTACAGTTATCATAAGGCACCAAAGCAACTTTCCAGCTCTGCAGTTCTCGACGGAAAAGTAGCGCATCTAAAAGATGTGATCACTCCTCGGAAAACGATTTGAAAGTCTTTTCGTGCTTTGAAGGTGAATCCTTTTGCGTTTGGATTTAGTGAATGCACTTAGTCCAGTCTATGCACTGCACATTTTTTGTCAAATGTACTACCAAATGAAATTGTGAAACATTATGCTCCGTGAAGTTCGTATTAAGTTTGACCTGCGAAGAGGCTGTCAGCGTAAGGGCAGCGGCCTCTGCGAATCGCTTTGACTCTTCTTCTACCATTCCTTCTATCAATCTCAACGTCTGCTTCTCTCAAAAGCAATTTTATTCAAAAAAGCCTTCATAAATTCAAAGACGTTTTACTTATACCTGAGGATCGTACTGACTATGCACTTTTTTGTACAGCACCTCCACATGTGCTTCTTTCACCTCCCCTGACACTTTTTCTTGCTAATCCTTTCGCGTCTAGTATTTCTGCCGTTTCTTCTAATTTTGACTTTAGCCACTTTCTGTACCCCTTCTTTTTCTTCATGAACCTGAACTGCACGTCATCATTCCATCACCAGACTTCCTTGTCGAGTTTGCTCTTCCTGGCTTCGTACGTAAAAGTGTTTGCTATGATGATCGTTGTTCTTTAGATTCTTCCAAAGGTTTTCTGTTTTTTTTTTCAACTCTGGTAGGGCAGATTTCACGGCTACTTCAATGTGCTCGTTGTTTTCGAGCTTTCATTATCTGATGCGCGCTACGTGCTCTGCCGTTGTTTTATTTATTTGCCTTTCATCTCGAATATTCAGATTTTGAGACTGGTCGATATTGTGGTATGCAGTCTTCATCAAATACGACACTACTGCTGTTCACATACTTGAGCTCGCTTTGTTGTATAGCTCAAAAGTCTATTTGTGATCGCCAATCTTTGTTGACATACTCGATGGGGTGACTCTACCTGATGAAGTATGTGTTTGCAAGCGTCAATCATGTGTCATGGTGAGCTATAGATTGCGCACCCTTCTTCGCTGCGTATTCCGTACCCGTAATTCCGTGGCATTTGCTTGTACCACATCCTTGTCCAGCATGCCCAAAAATCAACTCCATTTAGTAGCATCTCGTCGCGTGGTATCAAGCGGGAGTAGTCGTCAGGTTGATGCCACAATCAATCTCTGCGTGAGCCTACTTGTGGTGCCTAAACGGCTATGATTCAGAGAATCTTTTCGGCATCTATTTCGATGGACATAAGTCGATCACTCATTCGATTCACGAGAACAATTTGAACTTCGCTTTGACCGCAACGAATCTTCAATACTGTTACTCGTTGTAGTTTGCACAAG